ACCTCCGCCTCCTGGGTTCAGGCAATTCTCCTGCCTCAGCCTCCTGAGTAGCTGGGATTACAGGCACACGCCACCATGCCCAGCTAACTTTTTGTATTTTAGTAGAGACGGGGTTTCACCATTTTGACCAGGATGGTCTCGATCTCTTGACCTCGTGATCCACCCGCCTCGGCCTCCCAAAGTGCTGGGATTACAGGCTTGAGCCACCGCGCCCGGCACCAAAATAATTTTTCTAACACATATCTGATTATCTGTCTCAGCTTAAAAACCTTTCTCTTGTTCCTATTAATACTTCTGATTTACACTTTTTTTTTTTTCTTTTTTTTTAAAGACAGTTTCACTCTGTCACCCAGGGTGGAGTGCAGCGGGATGATCTTGGGTTCATGCGATTCTACTGCCTTAGACTCCCCAGTAGCTGGAATTACAGGCACCCGTCACCACGCCAGGCTGATTTTTGTGTTTTCAGTGAAGACCGGGTTCACCATGTTGGCCGGGTGGTCTTGAATTTCTGACCTCAAGTGATCCACCCGCTTCAGCCTCCCAAAGTGCTGGGATTATAGATGTGAGCCACCTTGCCCAGCCTAGACTTCTTATAGTATTTACCCTTCTACTGCCATGTCTTTGTTTCATGGACACATTTTGCTGGACCAAAAGTAGGTAACTACGTTTCTTAAAATGAATATATGGGCTGGGCACGGTGGCTCACATCTGTAATCCCAGCACTTTGGTAGGCTGAGGTGGGTGCATCACCTGAGCTCAGGAGTTCGAGACGAACCCAGCCAACATAGTGAAACCCCATCTCCACTAAAAACACAAAAATCAGCCAGGTGTGATGACTGGCCCCTGTAATTTCAGCTACTGGGGAGTCTAAGCAGGAGAATCACTCGAACCCAAGATGACCCCACTGCACTCCACCCTGGGTGACAGAGTGAAAACTCCATCTAAAACAAAAAATAAATATGTGTTAAATTAGAGGTTCTAAGCCCACCTGGTAAACAGAGGCAACAATGCTGACAAATAATGTTAAATTATTTTATTTCACTAAAGCTTTCAATATGGGCCAAAAATACACAAAAATTAACATAAAATGGATTAAAATCCTAAATGTTAACATCTGAAAACCGAAACTCCTAGAAAAAAACATAAGGGAAAATCTTCATGACACTGGACTGGGTGATGATTTCTTGGCTATAATACCAAAAGCACACATGCACAACAAAAACAAAAACAGACTACAGTCACGTGTCGCTTAACAACGGGACACATTCTGAGAAATGCATTGTTAGTTGATTTTGTTTATCAACGAACATCAGAGTGTACTTACACAAACTCAGATGTTGTGAGTATGTATCTTTTTAAGACAAAATTTTGCTTTTGTTGCCTAGGCTGAAGTGCAATGGCACCATCGCAGCTCACCGCAACCTCTGCCTCCCAAGTTCAAGTGATTCTCCTGCCTCAGCCTTCTGAGTTGCTGGGATTATAGGCATGCGCCACCACGCCCGGCTAATTTTGTATTTTCAGTAGAGATGGAGTTTCTCCATGTTGGTCAGGCTGGTCTCGAGCTCCTGACCTCAGGTGATCCACCTGCCTCAGCCTTCCAAAGTGTTGGGATTTCAGGCGTAAGCCACCGCACGCGGCTGGTATATATATTTTTTATTTATATATTTTTTTTACATGGAAAACCAAATGTCCCAGCACCATTACTTAATATTAGTCACTTCCTCTCATTGATCTACAATGCCATACAGCAGGTTTCTATACACAGTATGCTCCATTATAATCTTATGGGCCCACTGTCATATATGTTATGACATCACTGACCAAAATGTCATCATGTAGCACATGACTGTACATTAAACTTAAAAACTTCGACGCAGCAAAGATAATCACCAGAGTAAAAAGGCAACACAACGAATGGGAAAAAAATTTGCAATCCATATATCGAATAAGGGGTTAATAGCCAGAATATAAAGAACTACTTTATATTCTCAATCACACACACACACACCTCAATCACACACACACACACACACACACACACACAAAAAGCCTAATTTAAAAATGGGCAAAGCCGTATGATTGTGCCACTGCACTCCAGCCTGGGCAACAGAGCAAGATCCTGTCTCAAAAAAAAAAAAAGTAATTTAAAAGTAAATAAAGCCAGGCACGGTGGCTCACGCCTGTAATCCCAGCACTTTGGGAGGCTGAGGCGAGTGGATCACGAGGTCAAGACATCGAGACCATTCTGGTCAACATGGTGAAACCCCATCTCTACTAAAAATACGAAAAATTAGCTGGGCATGGTGGCGCATGCCTGTAATCCCAGCTACTCAGGACGCTGAGGCAGGAGAACTGCCTGAACCCAGGAGGTGGAGGTTGCAGTGAGCCAAGATCGCACCATTGTACTCCAGCTGGGTAACAAGAGCAAAACTCCGTCTCAAAAAATAAATAAATAAATAAATGTAAATAAATAAATGGGCAAAGCATGAACAGGCATTTCTCCAAAGATCATATACAAATGGCCAGCAGGCATATGAAAAGATGCTCAACATCACAAATCATCAGGAAAGTGAAAATCAAAAACACAATGAGATATCACCTTAAACACATTAGAATGGCCACTATCAAAAAATCAACAACAACAAATAACAAGTGTTATCGAGGATGTGAAGAAATGGGAACCCTGATGCACTGTTAGCAGGAATGTAAAATGGTACAGCTGCCATGAAAATCAGTATGAAGTTCTTCAAAATAAAAATAAAACTACCGGCCGGGCGCGGTGGCTCAAACCTGTAATCCCAGCACTTTGGGAGGCCGAGGCGGGTGGATCACGAGGTCAAGAGATCGAGACCATCCTGGTCAACATGGTGAAACCCTGTCTCTACTAAAAATACAAAAAATTAGCTGGGCATGGTGGCGCGTGCCTGTAATCCCAGCTATTCAGGAGGCTGAGGCAGGAGAATTGCCTGAACCCAGGAGGCAGAGGTTGCGGTGAGCCGAGATCGCGCCATTGCACTCCAGCCTGGGTAACATGAGTGAAACTCCGTCTCAAAAAAAATAAAAAAATAAAAAATAAAACTACCATAGTATCCAGCAATCCCATTTTTGGGTATATAACCAAAAGAACTGAAAGCAGGATCTTGAAGAGATATTTGCACACTCATGTTCACTGCAGCATTACTGACAACAGGCAAAATGTGAGGGCAACCTAAATGTCCATCAATGTATGAATCAATAAAGAAATGCAAATAATGTCATATATACTGTGACATTGCCCATTTTTAAATGTCACTATATACATGACATTATACAGCTTTTAGAGGGAAATCCTGTCATATGCTACAACATAGATGAATCTTAGACATTACGCAAGTAATGTCTTAAGATAATGGCTAAGTAAAATAAGCTAATCACAAAAAGTCAAGTACTACATGATTCCATTTATAAAATGGAATAATTAAACTCAGAAATAGTAGAACTGTGGTTGCTAAGGGGTTAGGGGAGAAAAAAACAAAGTGTTGTTCAATGGGTACAGTTTTAGTTGAGATGAAAAAGTTCTAGAGATCTGTTATACAACAGTGTGCACACAGTTAACAATATTGTAATGTACACTTAAAAACTGTTTAGAAGGTAAATTTATGTTTCGTGGTTTTTTGAGACAGCGTCTCACTCTGTTGCCCAGGCTGGAGTACACTGTCATACTCTTGGCTCACTGTAGTCTCAACCTCCCTAGTAGGCTCAGGTAATGCTCCCTGCCTCATCCACCTGAGTAGCTGGGACTAGGGGTGTGTGCCACCACACATGGCTGATTTTTGTATTCTTTGTAGAGATGGGGTTTTGCCACATTGCCCAGGCTAGTATTGAACTCCTGGGCTCAAATGATCCACCCACCTGTCTCCCAAAATGCTGAACTGTGAGCCACTATGCCTGGCCTTATTTTGTGTTCTTTTACCATACACACACACACACACACACACATATGCACACATGCATGCATGGAAAATCTCTCCTTTAGGAGAGAAAAAACAGACACAAAAATAGCAAATAATTCCACATTTTCAGGTTATAAACAGCAAGTTTACATTTTCAGGTAATTAAATGGTCAAACGTCAAAGAACAATAAAACTGAAATATAGTCCCCAATTTTACTGCTTTATACACTGAGTAATTTAGTTTGAATGTACAACTATAAACATAATTAAACAGCAAGTTAAAAATAGTATATATATAAGCCGTAAAAAAGCCAGGCGCAGTGGCTTACACCCGTAATCCCAGCACTTTGGGAGGCCGAGGCGGGTGAATCACCAGGTCAGGAGTTCGAGACCAACCTGATCAACACAGTAAAACCCAGTCTCTACTAAAAATACAAAAAATTAGCTGGGCATGGTGGCGGGCGCCTGTAATCCCAGCTACTTGGGAGGCTGAGGTAGGAGAATCGCTTGAACCCAGAAGATGGAGGTTGCAGTGAGCCGAGATCGCACCACTGCACTCCAGCCTGGGTGACAGTGCGAGACTCCTTCTCAAAAAAAAAAAAAAAAAAACCGAAAAAAAAATTTTTCTATTTTTAAAAATTTTTTTTTTTTTTTTTTTTTTTTAAAAAAAAAATTTTTTTTTTTTTTTTTTGACAGAGTCTCACTGTCACTCAGGCTAAAGTGCAGAAGAATGATCATGGCTCACTGCAGCCTCAACCTTCCTGGGTTCAAGTGATCCTCCTGAGTAACTGATAACTACAAGTGTGTGCTACCACACCCAGCTAATTTTTAAACTTTGTTTTTATTTTTATTTATTATTATTATTTTTTGAGATGGAGTCTTACTCTGTCACCCAGGCTAGAGTGCAATGGAGCAATCTTGGCTCACCACAACCTCCGCCTCTCAGGTTCATGCAATTCTCCTGCCTCAGCATCCTGAGTTGCTGGGATTACAGGCATGCACCACCATGCCCAGCTAATTTTTGTATTTTTAGTAGAGACGGGGTTTCACCATGTTGGCCAGGCTGGTCTCAAACTCCTGACCTCATGATCCACCCACCTCGGCCTCCCAAAATGCTGGGATTTACAAACATGAGCCACTGCGCCTGGCCTTTATTTTATTTTTAGAAATGGGTCTCCCTATGTTGCCCAAGCTGGCCTTGAATTCGTGAACTCTAGTGATCCTCTTGCCTTGGCTTCCCAAAGTGTTAGAATTATAGGCATGAGCCACCATACCCAGCCTTAAAAAACTTTTAAGGCAGAGGTTTCAGCTTACTAACACCTCGTTTCTAATGATGCTCTATCACTTCTCAGCCAAGATCAAGGGTAGTACCTGATGATGTTCTACCATAATACCATTTTTTTTTTTTTTTTCCTGAGACAGAGTCAACTCTGTAGACCAGTCTGAAGTGCAGTGACGCAATCTCAGCTCACTGCAACCTCTGCTTCCCAGATTTGAGCAATTCTCATGCCTCAGGCCTCCTGGGTAGCTGGTACTACAGATATGCACTATCATGCCTGGCTAATTTTTGTATTTTTGGTGGAGATGGGGTTTCACCATGTTGGCCAGGTTGGTCTCAAACTCCTGGCCTCATGTGGTCTGTCCACCTCAGCCTCCCACAGTGCTAAGATTATAGGCATGAGCCACCATCACTACACATGGCCTCTAACGTAATTCTTAACCGGCTGAATAGACTTATCAAATATTTATTATAAAATGGTTTTTAAAAAAAATGCAGATACCACCCAAAAGGTGAATTATTTAGGTATTTACAAATCATTTAAAGTGATTATACCCCCAAACTCAAATTGTACCTTCAATAAGAACTGGAAACACAAGAATGATAATGACTTGCAAATCTGGCACACAAACATTCTCTGATGTTCTCACTATGTGCCATGTACTGCTCTAAACAAGTGTTACTATATATCACCCCCACAACAAATTTAATTTAATCCTACACTACATCCTATAAGATCAGTACTCTCATTATTTTGGTCTTTTTTTTTTTTTTTT